AGGACCCACCAGAAACAGAGTGGACAGCACAACAGGCAGACTGAGTGCAACACACTGCTGAAAGGAGCATAGGAGAGACAGGAGAGGTCTGCTGTGCCATGTGGATTAGCTCCCTGGCCCCTGGCTGGGGATCGAACTCATGCTTCCGTGGGCTGCAGACAACTTCACAGTGCTGCAATTTACCCCCTTGTGCCAACAGAGAAGGCCCTAAAATTATTTTAAAAAGATAAAGACCAGCCTCAGATAGATCCAGATGTTGTAATTAGTAATGATTTTAAAGCAGCTATTTTTAAATATACTGAATTACAAAACACAAAATAAGGTCATGATGAATTAAAAGCAAATCACACAAAAGAAATATACGAAGAAGTATACTAAAAGTATTTAGTCTGTATTTTGAAACTGAAAAAAAATAGTATCTGAAATAGACCGCCATAGGATGGGCTTAATGCCAGAAAGGAAATGAAGGGAAAAAGTCTCAATGACCTTGAAGACAGATCAATACAAATTATCCAGTTTGTGGAACTGAAAAAGTGATTGGCAAAAAGAAATGAGCAAAGCCTCAGGGGCAGAAAAATTAATTGAAGAAATAATGGCCAAACTGTCCCCAAATTTCATCACAGCCACAAGATTAGAGGCACTGAAATTGTCTGGGCCAGTCTAGTCCCGAGATGCTTTCCTACACGTCTACATGAGGAGAACTATATACCCCACGACAAATTACTGAGTAGAGAGGAATCTGTACTGGACCAGAAAATGTATAAAATCCTACAGGTAGGGAACACTCGGGCCCATTGACAGCCTTGTTTTAGAGAGGACTGCAAGTGTGCTTTCTCATTTAGTCTCCCTCTCCTACTTAGCTCCGTTTACCGAGGAATCTCATGAACAAATGAAGGGATCAATCTGTCAAATCTGCCTGCTGCCCTTCAACCAAATCCACCAAGTACAAATCTGAAAACGTGTCCACCCCCACCACACCCCTCCCTAAGCCTCCATTCACCCTACCAGTCCTAACCATAATACCACTTGCTTTAAAATGAAGGTCGAACACCAGCTTGAAGAATCACCTCTTTCCTCTGAGGTCATCCACTTTGTCCCACTTTGGGGACCAGGCTTAGGTAACAGAAATAATGTCCTAAAATGGGGCCCAAGTGTTTTACATGGTGACATGCCTAAGGGGAAATGAGGCTTGAAGTACAAACCTCTTATTCATAAATTGATCTCAGGCCTATCTGAACTAAAGACAGATCCTATGTGAGAGAATTACCAAGGGCTGCAAGAAACGATTTCATACGAAGAAGGGCTGAAAATCATGAGCCTTCCCCTCATGGCACCTGCTGTAAATCCCCAAGATTTACAGTCAGTAAGAGCTCTGTGCAGCTGTAATTGTGCCTCATGCTGGGATGATAACCTTTCCAGAAACCAGGTGTTTTTTGTGTCTGGACTTAATCACCAACCCAGCCAAGCCCTGGCCCACATGACTCTCATTCAGCAGGTGGCAGACCCATGTCCAATCTCAGCCCCTGGCCAGGGAGGTGGGCAGTATATTCTGCTATAAGAGTTACTGTGAGCGCGGTGACAATCCCCAGGCACAGGTGAGACACCACTGCCCCCAGAAACCTCTCTTGGAGCAGCCAAAGGACAGCATCCCTACGTTTCCTGACAGAAGTAAGACTTTGCTCTTAGGTGATAAATTCCAGCATGATAAGTGCAGGGTTGAGAAATGATGAAAGTGGGGTGCAGGGGAGAAAGAAGTTGTGCCCTTTGTTTGCATCCCCCTTTGTTCTCTTCCTGGGGAAGAAAGAATGGGAATGAGGAAATGATTTCTGTTCTTTTTCCCCTCCATGAATAACCTGCTGCTTTTTCTTTTGATACTCTTAAGATCATTAACAACTTGTTGGAAATTCTTCCAGTATCTGCACTCCTCCACTTTGACCACATCTTACCACAAATGATGTTGTTATTCTGACTTGACAGGGGCGGAGGGACCTTCTGGATGATATGTTTATTGTTGTAAGTGACATGAAGCAAGGATAATTTAGGTCGGGTCAGAGGGGAAGCTTTTGTTTCGGAAAACATCATCCAGAGAAAGGAGGTAGAGCAGGCAGGGTGGGGGTTCCATGTGGGGGCCTGAGAGCTAGGTTTTGGGGGGCCACCCCAGGGAGAGTGTCTGTCCTCATTTTCCTAAGCTTATAGGCAACAAGCAAAAAATATCCCTCAACATCTAACATCTAACCATCAAAGCATCCTTTTCTGTATTTCCAGGACAGAAAGCAATTTATTTTTTGTACAATGATAGTTGCATTTTATTTAGTGCTTATAACCCATCAATGTTCTAAATAATTTGACAGTTATGACCACAGAAAGATATTTCATCAGTGATGGGTTGCAAAGATGAAGGTGGTCCTTGTGTCTCTCTGGAGGTGAGGTAAACTACACCATCTACATTTGTGTAAAACTTATGTATAAAGTTTGCCTGACAAGGAAATCACCTAACAAAGCATTTCTAAGATCATATTTCCAGCCTTAAGTCATAAGCAATAGTATGTCATTGTAACCTTACTATGACCATCCTTATTTTTAAAATGAAGATTTCCAAGGAAAAAGAAGACGCTTGGCTTATTAAGTGACAGAGAACAGATTTTAATCCATGCAGTATAACAACTAAGATATCACTATTAAATCATAGATATGTAGGTAGCTAAGAGATATAAATATAACATCATCCAAAGGTGGGCTACACAGTTCACCAGGCACCTTGATTCCCTGTAACTCGGATATAAATAGTGAGAAGACCCGCATCTAAAGGTTGAACCAGACATCTGCAGGCCACTTTTTTGCTCAACTCATCATTATCTACCAATGACAAGTCTTGTCTACGTATGCCTAAGACTTTTCATTAGCTTTGACTGTTTTTAAAAGGCAAAAATTCTCAGGAATGGTTATTGTCTGTTGTGGTCTTAAGATTCTCAGAAACAAAAAGAAACACTGTTTTCAGGGGAGCCCTCCCTGGTGGCACAACTGGTTAGAGCACAGCACTACAAAGCTGACAGCAAGGCCTTAGCGTGAGTTGGATCCCTGCCCCGGAGGTGACCTACATGGCACGGCAGACCTCTCCTGACCGGCCCACTGCTCCCCTCAGCAGTGTACTTCATCAATCTGCCTGTTCTACTCCCCACTCTGTCTCCAGTGAAGTTTCTCACCACCCCTGCACCTCTGGCCTATACTTCAGTTCTGTATGCATAAGTAAATATTTTTTTTAAAAGGCTGTCTTCCTGGTAAAATGAAGCCCAAATCTTGGAGTCTATATTTAGTAAGTCATAGCTTGAAATAAGTCATAGGTGTATAAATTAAAACTTTGTGGGACTGGACTATGGTGATGACACATGGGTGAATTGGTGGTGGGAAGTCCATAGGGATTACCAAGATGAAAAGATGTACAAAATGATGTTTAAAAAAACTGTGTGAGGGCCCTCCCTGGTGGCGCAGCGGGTTAAAGCACTGCACCAGGAAGCTTAAGCCACTTCCACATGAGTTCGATCCCCGCCTGCCCCGGAGGAGGATCCACATGGCGCGGCAGACCTCTCCTGACCCGCACGCTGCTCCCCTCAGCAGTGTACTTCATTGATCTGCCTGTTCTGCTCCCCACTCTGTCTCTGGTGAATCCTCTCACCCTCCGCATCTCTGGCCTGTACCCCACCCAGTTCTGTATAAATAAATAAATAAATCTTTAAAAAAAAAAAAAACTGTGTGAATTGAGTACCAGAAAATGATGTTTAAAACATATTTAAGCTAACTGCTTTGTTACCTTGTCATGCATCTAACAAACCCTTACCTCGCCCCCATTCTCAAGTTGTCCATTCGAGGTTCTCACCCAGTTCTGGAAGACATTGGCTACATTTTCCCCCTCACCAGTCTTTCTGCCCTAAAACCCAGACATGGACTTCCTTTGGTCTTGAATGTACCTGCTTTTAGTAGGAAGATGTCAAACCCCAACCCACAATCTCTACAGGGGCTATTTCCAAGTCTAGCCTGGGGGAAAATGGCAAGTAGAATGAATTTAGAAATGCTCTGCTTACTCTGGGCCAATTGGGACCTTAATTAAAAAAGCACCAAACTGTCAGTCAAAGGTGGAGCCATCAGAAGAGACGTGAGCAGGTCTAGGGCCCCTGTAATGTGCAGGCACTGCACTGGGACATTCACATTCACTGGCATCTCCCCCTCACAACAACCCTCTAAGGAGGAAGAATATCAATGGCCAAGAACTCATCCATCTTTCAGGTGCCATCTGAAATGCAAAGTGCATGCAACTGCATGCAAAATATTTCTGCTCCCCTGGGCATCAATAAAGTCACTATCTTGAGGCCATTAACTGAATTGTCAATGGCCCTTTGTGCTGGAGTCTTGCAACACGTGGCTCAATTCTGAGGTTGATCGTTACTTCCTACTTCCTCAACACAGTCTCCTGTGCAGCCTTAACACATGGAGCTAGGTGGTTCGGAACCAGAACTTAGAAGAGCAATTTAAAAGGAAAAATGTTCTTTGTTCAGATTCTTGAAGAACATTCAAGGAAGTCGTAATTTAAAACCTACACCATAATTTCCCAAAAGCTCCCCCTTTGCCATCAAGTCCTCTTTCATTACTATCACCTTCATCCCCACCCACGCTGACCTGGAACTTACGTCCCAAAGCTCAACTTGTTAAGCAGTAACTGTCCTCTTCTGTGCCCTTATTATTTAACCTCCAAACAATATTTATGTCATCAGTTTAGTCTCACTTCCCCCACTTCAGGCAAACAAGAATCCTCTCTTAAAAACAGAATTGGTAAAAACCAAACAGACTAATAAATGCTGGGTTTCCTTTCAATGACGCAGTAAGTTAGCCTGACAGCATGAACGGCCTATGCTGATCCTGCACATTATTGCAACTCTGCAGGTTAGCACATCAATGTTGGCCATCAGGACTCTGGAAATAATGCTCTTCATACCATTTGCTCTCACCTGGATGTGGTCAGCCCTTCCATTGGGATGGACCCTTTCCGATACTCCCCTTTGGGCTTGAAGGACTCTCTGGGCAGGTAGGAGTGATAGAGTGGGTAGTTCTCGGTGTATTCTGAGAGAAGACATGGTTTCTCTGTCTTATCATAAATTTTAGTAGAGAGATGTGGACAATGGTGCCGCCTGTAAAAGACACAGGAAGTTTTAGTGTTAGTGGATTACCTTCCCCTAAAGAATACATCCGATGTGATCATGCTCCTCCTCCGATTGTGCCCATGTGATAAAATCATGGCCACCAGCACTGCAAACAGGAAATCTGACCCCTCCTTTTCTCTCCTAACCTTTGTGAGGTAGCAGGAATTTAGAAGGTTGGGGGTAATTGCTTTCTTTCTTTCTTTCAGGTAGTATTATTGATACATATTATTTTTGTCTCATATATGCAGCATAATCATTTGGCATTTGTCTACATTACAATGAACTTGATAATAAGTCTATTTACCATCTTAACAACTTCCAGTTTGCAACACCATATTGCTGGTTATATTCCCCATGCTGTCCATTACATCTCCTTGATTGCTTTGTAAATGGAAACTGGTACCTCTTGTTCTCCTTCACCCATTTTGCCCTCACTCCAACCATCTCCCTTTTGGTAACCTCTAATCTGTTTCCTTTTTTCTCTCTTTCTACCTAACAAGTCAAGTCATGTAGTATTTTCCTTTTCTCTCTCTCTCTCTCTCTCTCTCTCTCTCTCTCTCTCTCTCTCTCTCTCTCTCTCTCTCTCTCTCTGACTTACACATTTTGCATAACACCTTCAAGTTTCATCCATGGTGTTGCAAGTATAAAGATTTCATTCTTTCTCATAGCCGGTAGTATTATATTCCCTTATGTATGTGTGTGTACCTATCCTTCTTTATCCATTTATCTATTGATGCTTCCACAAAATTTCTAAATGATCTGTAACTAATTGGTTAATTACAAAATTACCGGGATCATAAAATTATGTACAAGCAAGGCCTGTACCTGTCATACTGCTTTTTAAACACTGAAATATTTCCAGACCAGAAAGGTAAATGACTGTGACCCCAGTGAAAGCCCCATGAGTGCTGCCCCAGCTGCCTGCTCCTCCCCAGATATTTTCCTGTAGAACTAGGAGTCCAATACTTGACCGTAAGAGGGGCACCAAGCTGAGCACTAGGGCCATATTAGTCTTTCCTAATGGTGGGCTCCTGGGTCAATTCAGAATATCCCCTTTGCACGCAAGTAACATCACCTAGCCACCTCACTGAGATAATAAAAACCATTAGTGCTGGGAAACCATTTTCATGATGAAAGTCTGGCTCTATTCTTGCAGGTACCACTTCAACTGATGCCTCCTTAAAAAGACTTCTGCCAATCATTTTATGACTAAAAAACACCTAATGCTTTCTACCTTTACACACAGTTTCTCTCATCACTATGTAGGCCTTTCTTAACCCTACTGGCATCTATAACTAGCAAGTTTATTTGTTGAGTTTATTTATCATCAGTCTCATTTATCAAGTCAGGACCTTTCTTATCTTTTGTCTGGTACATCCCAGTACCTTGTATTCTACCTGACATTTATTAAGTGAATGACTAAATCTATAAATGAAAGATTAAATCAAATTTCTGATTCATATGCAGGTAGACGATAAAAGACAATTTGAAGCAATAAGTGAACTTTTCCTTTTCATGCTTGATAATAAATAAACATCATTCTATTTACCAGAAGGCAAAGGGCAGCTATTTGAGCTGACACTAAAGAATCTGTCAGTTATTTCTATGCCCATATCCAATCTTTGGAGGCCAGTTGGGGTACCTCTCATCATCTGACACCAATAGATCAATAAAACCCTAGCCAGTGATTCCCAACGTAATCAAAGATTATTAATTTTTTAATCCTAAAATTTTAATTGTAGGAACTAAAATACAAGGTTCTCTGAGGCAGCACAGGAAAGAGAGAGAATAGACTTACAGACAATTTATCACTGCTCTAATCTAAAGCTATTTTCCAGGCAACAATTAACACACTACTCATACTGTTAACAACTTTGACCCTCTGTGCAAATGTTGTTGCCACCATTGTTTTTACTAGTTACTTTTCATCAATCCCAAGAGAAAATAATAAACAATGATGCTGTTCATATGGCTAGAACTGCATTTTCAGACATGCGTTTCCAGATTATTTCCTTTTCATTTGTAGATTCCTATATTGCAAAAGGCTAAAAAAAAAAATGGTTAAAAAAAAAATTACCACCATAACTTTTTGTTTTTGGTATTATTAAAAGTACTGTCAGTTCATTTTCTAATTAGTTAAAGTAGAAACGAGTAAATATGAAGTTTTTATAGCATGGATATCTAAGTACCACTCTGGTAAATATACTCAGTAAAAGTTTAGTCTTCCTCAAAATGCTCATTGTTGACTTTAATGTGCAAAGGTATACTTATATTGTATGTATTTAATAAAATATTTCCTAATCGTAGATCTATAAGTCAATGAAGTGCTTTAATCCTTCTGTGCACTCAAGATACTATCATGTCTGCACAATAATTAAAATAACCATCTGCCATAGCATATCATTGGTAGACATTATTTCTGTGCTCAGAATCAGTCCAATTGCCTGAAATTTCAGTCTTAGTCAATCAGTATCCTATCATTTTAGGATTCTTATAAACCTCAAATGAGAAGTCAAGTCGTGCTGACTACCAAAAATATCTCTGTAGATATATTTCATTCACCCACACTCAGAAAAAAGTCAAAATTTTATAATGGATAATGAATCACAGTACTTACAATCACAGGGACCCCACAGGCACAACAGTGGTTCCCCTCTCCAGTGTCCTTGTTTGTTTTCTTGAACAACATTAGTATACAACACTGTATACAGGTTTCAGGGAGATAATTTCCAAGTTCAGCAACCATATATACCATACCATACCCACCACCAAATGGCCAGTCACCATCTACCTGATCCATTCCCCTTTGGTGACCACCATTCAATACTTATAAATGTCAGAGTCTAAGGATTTGTTTTATGTATTCATTTGCTTAGTTTCCTTAGTCCACAAAGGGTCCAAAAGAATGGATCCATATAGTATTTTGTTCTCCTTCCAACATATCACCTGGAAAAATCTCATTATGGTCTCTACATGCTGGCATAACTGGCAAGATTACATCATTTTATGGCTAAGTAGCATCCTATGGAGTGTATACACCTATCATCTTTATCTATCCAGCCATCATCAGGTGCTCTTATTTTTTTAACCAGTAAAACTGGTATTCATATAATCCCCTTTCTATATCGTCACCTTTTAAAATGTAACACACTATAAAGGCAATTTGAAAAACCATTAATTTGTGACAGACTACTAAATTGTCATTGATACAAGAGGGATTTCAGTATAGGAGCTTCCATCCAGACACTGATTTCCACTAAGTGGAATCATATCTATGCTCATATTTAGAGAACAGACTTTAATTATTTGACTTGATGCTGTTAACTAGCCTGTTTCACTTTGATTTTTTTTTTTTTTTAAGAAATCTCTTATTTGAAAATAAACTGATCATTGCCTCAGTTTGCTCATGGGGTTACCTCCATTCCTTACTTTCACCCAAATACCCTAAATCTTCCTCTCAAGTCAATCAGCATCCTAATGTCTTGTTGTTCTGCCCACCTCCTCTTGAGTAGTTCTAAGTCTGCTATCTCAATCCTGGAAGCTAGCCCAATGCTGATTTTATTTATTTATTAGCTAGGTGGACAGACAGTATATGAGCTACTGAAAGATGGCTACAAGTTATCAAGAAAGGGAAAATGAACAACTTTTCAAGCATTAATAGGTGGAAAAAGGAAAAAACTTGAATTCTCCATTTTTATGGACATAGTGAGTGCCTAAGGAAGTTTGTGGATCTCCATTCTTTGGGTACTAAAAGAAGGCTTCTTACTCATGTGGTAAAGAAATAAGCCCCCTTCAAGTTCTCTTGCTTGGGCACATAGTCAAATAAGTCTAGATGGGCCCAACATCAGCAAAGGCAAAGGGCAGGGAGTTTCTTTACTCTGTTGAACTCTTTTTGCACTTGAGAATGTGGCTGTTAGAAAATGTAAAATGACATGGTTCTGAAAGACTCGAGGTAAGAAGAAATAATCCTGACCTTTGATACTTGGTTAGAATGGTATATATCGTTCAATGGAACCCATATAAGGTTACCAATAATTGACTTTGAGCACTGACTCCAAGCTGTAAGTTATAGCCTGAAGAAGAATGTACATGATCTAGCCTAGACAGAACACAGGTCTTATCACATCTAAACACCAGATATATTCTGTAATATGGACCTAACCCAAAGCCATCCTGACTCAGGTAGCCCTAAAAGAAATGACAGATCTTTCTTGGACCTCACAAGTATTTCTAGAATAACACTATCTGACAGAAATAGAATGCACCCAGGAATGAGAACCGCATGTCACTTTACATTTTCTAGTAGCCACATTAAAATGATTTTTTAAAAATATATATAATTTTAATATTTTGTTTGTTCCAATGTATTCAAAATAGGATTTCAATGTATAATCAATGTAGAATGAGTAATGCCATGTTTTACTTGTTTATTATATCCTTAAGTTCCAGTACATGGGCTCTCCCTGGTGGCACAACGGGATAAAACACAGCATTATGAAGCTAGACGCAGCCACTGCAGTGCGAGTTTGATTCCCCAGCCAGGGAGGTGACCCACATGGCATGGCAAACCTCTTCTGACCTGCCCACTACTCCCCTCAGCAGTGTACTTAGTCAGCCTGTTCTGTGTGATGAAGCCTCTCATCCACACCTTTGGTCTGTACCCCAGTTCTGTAAGCATAAATAAATAAGTCTTTTCTAAAAATCCAGCACATGTTCTACATTTACCGCACACCGCAGGACATGTCACATTGCAAGTGTTCAACAGACACACATTCCCTACTAGAAAGTGCAGGTCTAGTAGCTGAAGACACAGCTGAAGAACTGCGAATATAACGGATGTGAGCACTCTCCACAGGTGTAGGAAAGACAGAGAAACCTAAGACAGATTTTTGTTGATTGCAATGCAACTTGCCTTTTACTTGGGCTCCCCAGCTTGCCTTTATTGACACAATCAGACGCATTCAAAAACATGAAAATTTAATTTACAGTGTTTTCCATAACACATGGAAAGCTCTCTTCGTAGAGCTTTCATTTTACTGTTCCCTGGAGCTGCCCTCCTTCTGCCACTTAAATTGTCCAAATGCTTCCCCTCATCACAGCCCATTTTGGATGCCACCACACCCCAGGGAGCTACAGGTGACTGCACAAGGTACTGGCTGAGACTCGCTCTTCGGGTGTTTGACACTGTGTCACCTCTTCAGAGCCTGTCTTCTGCTGTAGTACCTGGCAATATGCTCTAACCTATAAATGTTCAGGTTAAGAACTAACACAGTTGTTTCTTGCTTTTGGAGGCTGGCCTGCCACAAATTTAACAAAGTTTTAGAGACGTAGAAAACATCAACTGTTACTAGCTCAGTAATACAAATATTTTGCAGATTAATAATGATCTGTTTAGCTTTTTTTTCCCCTCAGTTATTTGATTTTGCATTTCCTCCTAGGATTTA